AGCGGGAGGGAAGGAAGGCGGAAGTGGGGGAGAAGAGAGGAGGGAGAGGAGGAGGAGGAGGAGGAGGAGGAGGAGGAGGAGGAGGAGGAGGAGGAGGAGGACCAGTGTAAACCGAAGAGCCATCAACGATGTGAGAATACACCCTCCCTCCAAGCTCCCTCTCTATAGAGGCCCCCACAACGGTTCATTTCCATTGTGGGAACTGCCTCGTTGGAAGACAACCGTCTGAAGACCCTGAAGCATGTCAAAACATTGTTCTCGGGATTACAAACGCCACGGATCAACCTGACTGTTACGTCTTGACGATCCTGGATCGCATCAGAAGGCCATTCTCGGGATTTCAACACCGCGAATCAACCTAACTGTTGCGCCCGCAAAATCATACATCTTTCCAAAGCATACAACTTCTGGTATGCTGATCATGGGAACCCGTGAAACTCTTGCAATGGTTGTTGAACGAATGTGCGCGGCGCGAAGGCGAGAGCCACATTTTGAAAAGGAACAGCCCTCAATCCGCCAAACTCTTGCAAATGTTTAGAACGAATGTGCGCGGCGCTACGGCGAGAGCCCCATTTTGAAAACGGGTTGCCCTCAACCCGTGAAACTCTTGAAAACTTTTAAAACGAATGCGAGCGGCGCTGAGGCGAAAGCCACATTTTGAAAACGGGTCGGCCTCGATCCGTGGAACTCTTGCACATTTTTATAAAACAAGTGTACGCGAAGCTAAGGCGAGAGCCACATTTTGAAAACCACCCGCCCTCCATCTGCGAAATTATTGCCAATTGTTTAGCTTCAGAGACATAAGTGGTGAAGAAGTCTCAGGCGAAACGCCAGGCCCGCCCTAAAAACTGGGCTCGGGGTGCAACAGGGAGAAATTATGTATAAGGAAAAACAATGGAGGAGGAGGAAGAGGAGGAGGAGGAGGAGGAGGAGAGGAGGAGGAGGAGGAGGAGGATCGAGGATCGAGGATCGAGGATCGAGGATCCAGGGGCGTCCGCCGTCGACGCGGCCGCGGCGGGCCAGGAGGAGGAGGAGGAACAGGAGGAGGAGGAGGACGAGGAGCAAGTGGAGGAGGACGACGAGGAGGAGGAGGAGGAGGAGCAGGGGGGGAGAAGGAAGAGGGGGAGAAAGACTAGCTGGGTGCGCTCGTGTCATATCTGACGTCCTACACCTCCCTCCCATCCCTTACCATGGCGAAGATCTCCTCTCTATTCGCACAATCGGATGTCGTAGCATGGCATAGCATTACATGGCATAGCTTGGTGTTGAAGACCAACGCGTAGCCTGGCACAGCATGGCGTGGCGACGCCCCAACGTGGGGGGGCTTCTGCGGGCCACAAAATCAACGAATCGACACCGAATGTGGAATCACTTCCGATGGTCTCTTCGGGAGGCCACTCTCTAGATTTGGGGGACTATTTGAAGGACCAAAAGCCATGCCGTGGCATGGCCCTGGAAATAATGACGCCAACGCTGCAGCAAGAGCACGATTCGGAACGAGCGGAAGCGCGGAAATGAGGCCAGCGCTGCAGCGGGAGCACAATTCGGAACGAGCGGAAGCGCGGAAATGAGGCCAGCGCTGCAGCGGGGGCACAATTCGGAACAAGCGGTAGCCCGAAAATGAGGCCAGCGCTTCAGCGAGAGCAGCATTTTAAGAAAAACTGACCGAAAACCCGTCTCCCAGGAATCCTGAGTAAAAAAACACATCGCGGAAGGGGGCCGAACATTTCCCTGACGCCACCACGGGAGAGAGGAGAGCAGTATTCAGATTGAGTAATTGTGGAGGAGGAGGAGGAGGAGGAGGAGGACGCGACCTACGTCGACCCAGTCGCTGGGCGGCAGTGCGTGGACGTCACAGTCACTGACTGTGCGCTCGGGGCTGGCACGGACGTTCGCGGAACCCGCGCGACCCTCGGCCCAGGACGTCGCCGCGGCCGCGGAGGCCGAGGAGGGCAAACATAGGCGCTGGCCGGGGCCGGCGCCGCTGGCCTTCGCAGAGGCTGGGCCAGGCTAGGAAGGAGGCGCAAGCCCTGCTGCGCACCTGGTACGCCGCGGGTCTCAGCGGCGCCGCGCGGCTGAGCACCTGTGCCGCGCTGCTGCGGGCCTGGCGGACAGCCGTACTGCCGCGGGGCGCCGCGGCGCGGCGGCGGCCGGATGAAGGCCGCAGCGTGGCGCGCGCGGCGCGGGTGAGCGACGCGGGGGCGCGCTTGCGGCGGCCTGCTGAACTCCTCGCGACTCCCGCTCTTCCTCTCCCTCCTCTCCTCTCCCTCTCCTCCCACTCCTTCCTCGTCCCTTGCCTCCGCCGGGCGCGCGGGCACCTCGGGGCGGGGTCGGGCAAACCACACCCCGCAGCCGCACACCCGGCGCCTCCCACTCCAGTTTTCCTATGCCTCCTCTTCCCCCTCCTCCCTCCTCTCCACCCGTGGCAGAGCCGACGGTTCCCGGGGCCCGCTCCAAGCGGAGCTGGCGCGGGCGCTGGCTCGGGCGTGCGCGTTCTGGT